GGGGAAAAGAATAAAAGGAAGAAAAAAAAATTCTTAGGAAAAAAACAAAAGCTGTTTCCAATTTGCTAATGAGATTGTCCCTACCTAGCATAGCCATCAGCGTAGTGTTCTCATCTCCGTTTTTACCCTCTGTCTTGAGGCTAAGTAACGGCCCGCTCAGTGCTTTCAGTATTGCCAGTGTGCTCTTGTACACAGCTACGGGATTGGACGCTTCCTCAGAGCTCTTGGGTAGCACCTTGAATCCAACGGTGGTTGACTGCGACTGCAAAGAAGACGTTAGCACGTTCATTCACTAAACGCACAAAAAAAGGTTTTGCTGAGGAGTGCTGTGGCCTCGTGGTCTGGAGCATTGAATTCGTGGTCTTAGGGTAATTCTGCAGGTTATGGGTTTGAGTCCAGCCTGGGGTTGTGGTGCGTGTGCCCTTGGGCAAGGCACTTTGTCACTCATTGCTTCTCTCCACCCAGGAGTAAATGGGTACCTGTGAGGGCAGAGGTGGTTATTGTGATTGATTTTAGCTGCATTGTGCCGAAAAGGCAGCATCGAGCTACACACTCCCCAGGGGGCTGAGAATGTCTTTGAAATGTTTCTTTAGCCCAATTAGCAGGGTAATAATGATGTAGTGCTTTAAAAATACAAGTTGTTATTAGGAACAACAGGTTGTCAGTCAAAATGTCATTGCTTGGACCGTTTCCCTGCTGATTTTTCGCTTCCCAGCTGATTTTTCGCAAACAAAATTTCTAAGCAATCTTTTCTGCTTAAAAGCAGCTCTATGGAATTTGTCCTAGTGCTTAACAAGTTATTCTCTGCTAACAGAGGATGTGTCCATTATAGGGAGATCATGAGCAGTCAGTGCAGCAAGGAGCTTTAATACAAGTTATGCCTACAATTTATGCTGTTATTCACCCAGTATAACTTTTCCATGCCTAAACAAACGTTGTATATTTATGAACTTATAAACTTGCATAATTTGTAATATAATCATTTCTTCTTGTTCTTGTAAAAGAAACCAAAATGCACCTGTAAATTAAGACTTAATGGAGAATGACAGTACCTTTTTAGCTGCGTTAATTGATGGCGCAACATTTGACAATGTCACAACCGGCTTCAGAATATATTCCATCAGTTTCTTTCCTGAAAATGGAAAATTTAGGAATGAAAGGATAAAATGAGCGAATTCTGTTTCTAATGTAATGTTATACATTCCTTCCGTCAATGCATTTTTGGTTTATCAAAGCTTGGTTTTGAAAAACGGTCACAAAGAGAGGACAAACATTCAAGAAACTCACCGAAAACTTGCATTTTGTTCTTCAGAATTCCAACCTCGTTCACGGCATTGACAGTAACTGCAGGATTTTCACTATGAACTGGTGAAAAAAAGTGTAAAACAAAATTTACTCCTGGGTGGAGAGAAGCAATGAGTGTCAAAATGTCATGTGCACGCACCACGACCCCAGGCTGGACTCGAACCCACAACCTACAGAATTACCCGCAGATCCTGAATATGATACTCCAGCCCACATGCCATAGCGTCCCACGTCTTGTTGACCTACCTAGTTTGAGTTGGACTTGGCTGACGTTGGTCAAGGTGACAGGTTCTTTGGCATGGGGTATAGTCCAGACAGTCATGGCAGACCAGGCCTCTCCTAGATGATGCAGCAGCGTCTCTTGGTTCACTCGCAGCTCAGACTAAAACGGGGAAAAAAAACTCTTATTAGCAATGTCTCTCTCTGGCTGGCAAAATTCAACAACGTCATCCCAACTGACCTATCACCGTCTGCGAGTTAGCCACGCCCCTTTAGACAACCCCATGGAATATTTGTACACTACGTTTTGTTTGTCTCAGATTTTGCGCATTGTGTCTATTCGTATATCTGTAATTGGACAATATTTCACAAGCAGTGTTGACGCGATGTAAATGCGATTCTAACAAGATCAATCCACTTTCTGCATCCTCACTGGCCTGCTACAAGTAAACAGACAACGGATAAGCTCCTTACCCTCAGAGCCTGACAATTTTCAGCTCACAGTATCCGTTTTCAATGAGAACATCCAAATCAGATTTCTGCAGGGAAAAAAAATCAAAATATGCAAAGTACAATTTGATTACAGTGGATTCAAAGTTTACAAAAACAACCTGAAATTTGTAATTTTAAAGTAAACTTCGTACAGAAAAGAAGTTTGTATTCCTTTTAGAAGACAAATTTGGAAAATAGGAACCAAGTCTCATCTTAATTTGATTTGACAATTACTTTCATTTGTCTCTTACCAATTCATTGACAGCATCGGCTGCTTGCAGGAACTCATTGTTCTGGACGAAGCTTTGAAAGTCTGTCAGTAAACTGTTAACCCGTCAAACAAAACGGACGGACAAATCATTAGAATCGTCAGGAAAGTGGGGTTTCTTAATATGAAGAGGATGACATTATAAGACAAACTTACTTGTCAACAATGATTTCCAACGTCTGTCTATGATTCCATGATCAAAAATGATTCATCCACAAGGAATCACAGGATAAAAATGTGGTGCTTAAAATGGCGATTATGTAGTGACGGGCCCCTGTTTAGTTTAGGTCAAGTACAGACAGGGTGGGTGAAAAAAAAAAAAAAAGTTTTAGTGAAGTTCTGCATGTAGCACTTTCAAGTAGCACTTTCAAATTCTAAGATATAAAAGCCCAATTCATAAGTTTTCTTTTAGTACAACAATCATTCAAATCACTCATGTATTTTATGTAATTTTAAACACAACCTTACTTTTAAAAGTCTGTCCACGGATCACCAAAAGATATTAAGTGTTCCTTCAGCACAACAAAAACAAATATGACCATATGTTTTATTTTGAACAGTATCTTTTGGTAGAAAATGCAGTTTTTTTAGATATTTTTTCAGCTGATGCCATTGAAATCAATTTTTTTGCACACGCACGGTCTGTCGCACGGTCTGTCGTGTTGGGTTTTGTCGTCTTCATTGTAATTTTACTCCAAAATTTCCATAAATAATCAAAATCTTACCCTCTGTCCATGAGTCATGCTGGTTATAAACATCGCTATAAACTCCAGTTTGTGAGTTCAATAACTTGATTTTTCCTTTTCTTATAGGAACTTTACACTATAATGGCTCAAAGTGCGTCATAAATATCACCCCTGTCCACCAGGCTGCAAGACCAGTTTTCTGCAACAGCCTAAGATCAGGCCAATATATGATGCGATCGAGCTAAATGAGTCGTTTGTTGACCCTGGTCAATTTTTTTTACAGATTTGAAAAGAGCACAATCTCAGCATTACTGGTGTAAAAACCGCATGCTGGTACCATCTTTAGTTCAAAAGTTATGGAAATCGGAACACCAAGAGATGTGATGTGATGAAGTGGCTCTATTTTGGCCCGAATCTCCAAATGAAAGTTCCCGACAAATGATTCATTTAGCTTGATCGCGTCACATATGGTCTCAACCCTCACAGGCAACCATTTGTACACCTTGAGAAAGACAACTGCGGTAAAGTGTCTTGCCCAAGAAGACAAACACCCTGTTCCTGTTAGGGAAACGTTTCTGTCTTGCCATATGGAGTTGATCATTACCTTGCATAGTGACTGTAGCACCTCAATGATAGCGTTAGTTTTCTCCAACTGTCTGGTGAGGTCATGAAGATCACTGGTGGAGCTGTTCAGCTGGGAACTGATGTCTCCCTGAATACCAACAAAAAATAAAGATACCATATTGACTTCTTTTGACAATAAAAAGTAACATCTTAACCATTTTGCATCAGAGGACGTGATAAGACGCACTGGCTGTTTTTATGCACAGGCACGGCTGATGGATTTTCTAGGGTTAAAAGGTCAAAATTGCCTCCACTCACCTCCGGGTAACATTCTGCTTTTGCACACACACAAAAGTCTGTGAAGTCATACAGGCCACACTGTGTGTTGATCTTGAATTGGCCGTTGTGCATGGCCAATTGTTTGACAATTTACGTTCCAGTGCACACCTGTGAGGTTTTGGCACAAAGTGGGACGCTTGGGTAAAAAGAACCCCTATGGCAAGTATCAGGCCAAAATATTTCCATGAAAAAAATGCATCATTTTACCAACTTGCTGTGCTCACATTTGTATGGCCCTTAGCACAGAGATTACTCCAGTGTATGGCCATAGAATAGGCTAGGTTTTTACCAATGGTGCAATAAGTGATAACCACAGACACCAATGCCTGTCTCATCAGACAGCTTTACTTACCTAGTCTAGGGGCTAGACGTTATTATTGTTTGATACGCGATAACCCCCGCAGCGATAACCCGCCGCAAGAGGGAGCTCTCACTCACGACCAACCAATATCACCCACCATCAAAACGTCTAGGCCAAATCCTAATATCTACCCCCCCCCCCTGCCAAGAAAAAAAAAATGGGGTAAACTAGTGCACAAACGTGACTTCTGCAGGCAATTTACTGTTCACTTTCAGTCCCACACGTACTACATATGATAACCATTCATCTTAAATATCTGCGTGGTTATCCGTCAACTTCCTTTGGTATTCATGGAGGGGCTACGGAAGTTCTTAACTGTTCCAAACTTCCGTGGTGAATTGTCATGAAAATCAATGCGCAGTAGAACCCTGGGACATCCATAGAACAACCAAACTAATTCGTAGTGTTATTTGTAGCTATTCATACATATTCTCTGCTAAGGTTGTACTACGAATATGACTATGCTTTATTTGTAGGAGAACCTTGGTCATCCGTGGCCCAATCGCAGACAACTGTGGCATTAACATCATTATTCTTAGTAATACTGTCAATATTCATAAACAATCCATTCAAGAAACCGTGGTGTATTCGTAAAGAAACCCCTGACAGTCGTGGCTATCCGTCCTGAAACCCTAGTGCATTCTTAGAAAGTCGATTTCTCCATGAGTCTTGATGGTTCATTGTGATCAATTGATTCTTGGTAAACGGTGGATATTCGTAGGTCCAACCGTGAATGTGTTACTAGGGCCTTAAGACTATGACATACCTTGATCTTATTGCTGAGAGTCTGCATCTCAGTGGACAGTGTCTGCACCTTGTTGTGTAGCTCCTGGGTGGAGTCCCTGGTGGGTCTGTAGTTGGCATACTTCTCGTGTACGGCGTGGTAGATTTCACCCTTGATCTCATCAATGTGAGTTGATAATTTGCCGATACGCGTCCCCAGGTCTTCCTTTTCCAACAGATCTGGGCAAAGAATTACAAAATATTGGGTGAGTAAAAAACACCAAAACCCAAATAGCAGGACCAATTTTCGAATGAAGTTTTGTCTGTAGCACTTTTAAACTCTAGGATATAAAAACCCAATCAATAAGCTTGCGGATTTGTGACGGTTAATACGGAGGTAGGCCTTGTCCACTAGTTGCCTGTAGCTTGAGTAACTCCAGCTCTAATGCCTATTGCATTAGATCTGGAGTCACAACTACGTTAAAAGCACCAGGTCGTAAGAGTCCCGAAATCCCGGACTTTGTATCCCCAGTGCATTACAAAAACGATCCATTTTCCCTAGATATTATCCCGACCCAGATTCCATAATTCATACCTCATACGATGCAACAGACATTCACAAAGCTAGTAATCGACTTCAAACAGAACAATGAAGACTAAAATATGAAATTTTTCGTTGATTTTGGTGGCGATTCTCGAGAAACCACGAGAAAACGTCGAGCGACACTATTCTGCCGACTGCCGTTGACCAAAAAATAACACAACATTGGCAAATAAAAACATCAGATTTACCTCAAAACAGCCTCCAAATTACTAGATACACCACCTGAGGTACAAGGAGAGATCGCTAATTAAAATCGAGGTACTAAAGTTTGCTTACGAGTCGGATGAAAAGTGAAATTTCCCGTTCAATTCTGAGAGCTCCCCTCGCGATCGATCGTTAAATTTCTGACTCTTGTTTGAACGACGCAATGTAACCGTACGTCCCAGCATTCATTCAGTGGTCTCAGCGCAATTCCGGTAACGAGCGCAATGCATCAATTTTGATAATGAGTAGACTGGATCTCGTTTGTACAAGTGCATTTCGAACGATGATATGGAGTCGGGAACTAGCTTGAACTGGTTTCCGCTGATAGCTGCTCTAGTTCCCGACTCCGTATGTCAGTTCGAATGCACTTGTCTGTACAAACGAGATCCAGTCTGCCATGATCATAATCGATGTATGGCGCTCGCTAACGGAATCGCGCTGGGACCACTGAATGAATGCTGGGCACGTACGGTTACATCGCGTCATTCAAACACGAGTCGGAAATTTAACGATAGATCGCGAGGGGAGCTCTCGGAATTGAACAGGAAATTTCACTTTTCATCCGACTCGTAAGCAAACTTTAGCACCTCTATTTTAATCATCGATCTCTCCTTGTACCTCGGGTGGCGTATCTAGTAATTTGGAGGCTTTTTTGAGGTAAATCTGATGTTTTTATTTGCCAATCATTTGGAGGGTCAACGGCAGTCGGCAGAATAGTGTCGGAGCGACGTTTTCTCATTGTTTCTCGAGAATCGCCACCAAAATCATTGAAAAAATTTCATATTTTAGTCTTCATTGTTCTGTTTGAAGTTGATTACTAGCTTCATGAATGCCTGTTGCATCGTATGAGGTATGAATTATGGAATCTGGGTCATATTAATATAGGGAAAATGGACCGTTTTTGTAATGCACTGGGGATACAGAGTACGGGATTTCGGGACTCTTACGACCCGGTACTTTTAACGTAGTTGTGACTCCAGGGGGGTCAGACAAGTGGACCGTTGAGACAACTCGACTCGGGACAAGTCGACCGTTGAGACAACTTGACCATTGAGACAACTCGACCGTATGTGTGATAAATGGAAAGACAAATCGACCGTTGAGACAAGTCGACCGTTGAGTCAAGTCGACTCACTTGTTTTGGGCCTAGTTTTCGGGATAGTACTGGAAATTTTGACGGCGGCTGATCACCGTTTGGGAGTTATGACACATGATTTTTTTTGTTGCATATCAAAAAAAAACAGAGCTGATATAGCGCAGCGTGATTGTCCGTGCACATCGTCCGTTTTTCCGGGCCGTGCGCATCCCAGGTCAACGTGGCCGTACCGTGCATGGTGACATCGTTTTTGCCGGGCCTGTGCGCGCACTTATCCCTGGTCAATGTGGCCGCGCCGTGCACGGTGGCATTGTTTTTTCTGGGCCTGTAAGCCCACTTGCCACGCCGGTCGACGTGCCCGCGTGCCGGGCCGGGCCCGGTCCTCGCAGGCGGGGCGCGCCGGCCCAACGTGACGGCCACCGGATCGGAGCGCGCCTCTGTGCATCCAGTATGCCCGTGCCGTGCCCAGGACTGGTCCTGCCACAGATTTATGCAACTTTTTTCGCTCCACGTGTATACATTTCCATTGAGTCGAGCTGTCTCAACGGTCGACTTGTCCCGAGTTGAGTTGTCTCAACGGTCGACTTGTCTGACATTCGACTCCAGCTCTAATGCAATCATTAGAGCTGAAGTTACTCAAGCTAAGTTACATCATGGGACTATGTCATTGCCAATTACCCCTAGAACTTAGCTTGAGTAACTCCAGCTGACATGGCTCATAATATTCATTCACATGTATCGCTGGAGTGTGGTAGCAAGAGACCCTAAAAAAATGGCCTCTCAAAAATTGTTCATTTTCACCTCTAATATCCCACCTCGGATTTCATTTACATACCTCGTAGATTCAGCAGTCATTCACAGAGCCTAATGATCGACTTGAAACAGACCACAAAAAAACTGTCTGGTGAGGTCAGGAAGATCACTGGTGGAGTCGTTGAGCTGGGAACTGATGTCTCCCTGAATACCAACAAAAAATAAAGATACCAAATTGACTTCTTTTGACAATAAAAAGTAACATCTTAACCAGTTTGCATCAGAGGACGTGATAAGACGCACTGGCTGTTTTTATGCACAGGCAGGGCTGATGGATTTTCTAGGGTTAAAAGGTCAAAATTGCCTCCACTCACCCCCGGGTAACATTCTGCTTTTGCACACACACAAAAGTCTGTGAAGTCATACAGGCCAGACTGTGTGTTGATCTTGAATTGGCTGTTGTGCATGGCCAATTGTTTGACAATTTACGTTCCAGTGCACACCTCAAAGTATTGAACCATATGAGGTTTCGGCACAAAGTGGGACGCTTGGGTAAAAAGAACCCCTATGCCAAATATCAGGCCAAAATATTTCCATGAAAAAAATGCAACCAACTTGCTGTGCTCACATTTGTATGGCCCTTAGCACAGAGATTACTCCAGTGTGTGGCCATAGAATAGGCTAGGTTTTTACCAATGGTGCAATAAGTGATAACCACAGACACCAATGCCTATCTCATCAGACAGCTCCAGACGTTATTATGGTTTGATACGCGATAACCCCCGCAGCGATAACCCCCGCAAGAGGGAGCTCTCACTCATGACCAACCAATATCACCCACCATCAAAACTTTCTACATGCAGTTTACCATTACTTTTATATAGACATGAGGCTAGGATATTTCCAGGCTTTAGTGAAATTCATCCAATTGCCTTTAAATTCTGTTATACAAAATTACATAAAGACCCTGAGAAATCTTCACCATGGAGAACATCGTGAACTCTTAATAGAGCACAAACTGTATTATCATTATCGAGAGTTGAATGCTTAGAGAGCAAACTCACCACAAATCCAAAATGTCTTGGGAGGTTTTGGATCTCAATCTTGAAGATCTCTGAGGTGAAGTGCTGTTGTGTCCAATAGTGATAAGGATCCGTTATGGCAGCACCAGTCACCGGTACGTCAGAGGTGCTGGTGGAATGGTTATCTTGTGGGTCAAGACCTGATAGACAAAAATGAACAAATTAAAAAACCAACTGCGATCAGAGAAAATAAATTTACTTTGATTTTTTTTAAGCATGAGTTATTTTGTAAGTTTAATTATGAGTTGTCAAGTGAGACACTGCACAACAAAATCAGTTCACACTGACAAACAGATAAATGAATTGCAAATTTTGAATAAGAAACATCCCAAAGTTGAATACTGTTAATATAGATGTACAACAATGGTACACAGTACCTGAAAAAAAAAAAATGCTTTAACCCTAACCGCCCTGAATCCTCCAAAATCCTTTTTGCAAATTGGAGGAATTTGCAGGATTGAGGTTACATGGCAAAAGTGCATTGCTGATTTCGGAGTATGCACTGTGTCAAGGTCTTGGGCCAGACCTTGTGTTGTTTATGCTCATCCGTGCATAAATTTAGTCCTTGATTATACTTGACAACCTCCGTACTGCTCCAGGATGTCACTGCCTCTGCCTCAGCCTATTGACAGTCATAGCCGGAGGATTTTGCAGGATTCAGGCAGTGGTCACCCCTCCATGGACCATATTCAAGAAATAACGGAGGAATTTGCAGGATTGAGGCTACATGCTATTTTTCCATGAGGCCAATTGGAGGATTTTGCAGGATTGAGGCTACATCCTAGCAAAAAGGCGTAGGGAGTTAGGGTTAAAATATGAACCTCTTTGTAAAGTTAGAGATAAACCTATATATAAATATCTTAATTTGGACGGTTCCCAAAATGACCAATTTCTACAAGCTGCTGTTTTTGTGTGCGTAATTCAAAACTGCCAAGCACAAATAATGCTATGTACTATCACCATTCTGGTATTTGAACTAGTAGGCCCCCTATGCTTTTCTGATACTTGATACTTTATTGATGCCTCATAATATTTTGATATTTTTATTTGCCTTTTTTTATTGGGCTTTGTATTAATCAACAAAAGAATGAATCAAATTAGGTTTTGCCCTCCACCGATGTATAAACACTGTATACTCAGTGTGGTACCTCCCGAGTAAAAGTTGGAAAAAAAACACTCAGGAGGGACTCAAACCACAACCTCCTGCTTTCTAGTGCAGACATCTTACCACTCGACCACCGAGCTGGTTGGTTCAAATCTGATGTACATAGCAGCGGGTACTGCATTAACTATTCATAAAATGGATAGTCGGTGAAGGGCAAAACCCAATTTGATTTACATCACCCCGACGCAAAATTCCATCTTAAGCCGTGTCCGCACTGGACTTTTTTTTTGGAAGGTTTTACCGAGATGATGGTAAAATGAGAAATGGTCAAATGTGACCACGTCCGCACTTGGACTTTCGACACGGGAAAGTTTACCCAGACCGCGTGGGAGAAGTGACCGAGCTGTCACAGTCACGTGCACAGGAAATAAAATGCCGATCACATTTTTTTTCAGCCCCCGATACGCACAGTATAATATTACACACACCATTAAAATGCACAATATAATCGTAACATACGATGTTATTTCATCTTGACACGATAAATCTTGACCAAAATGCCTACTATTCTGACGCATTAGTGATGGACGACATCGAAGCCATGCAGCAGCAGTTCCATCGGTAATCGCTGGTTCCCACCGCATGCTAACAGAATCAAAGCTATGATGTAGGACCGGAACCAGGGACTGCGACCTACGTACGGTGCCATGCAGACTACACGGCGTAACAGGACGAATTTGGATCGTAGAAAATACAAAACAAACATTGGTGGAGAAAAAGAATAACTGCAAAGTATTTCCCAGAACGTGATCTTGATATTTTCTGTGAATGTATTCTCCGGGCCGGATCTCACTTTCCTCAGCCGCTTTTACTGACTCGCACTGTCCGCACTGGACTTATCGTCTCGGGAAAAGTGACCTGGTCAATTTTCCTGGGCGCGTGGTCAGTTTTCCTGGGCAGCAATTGGCCAGTAAAAGTAACCGCTGGACTCAGGAAAAGTAACTGAGAGGAAAACGTCCTAGGCTGTCCGCACTGGACTTAAAATGGGAAAAGTACCCAGTGTCTCGGTAAGTTTGACCAAAAAAGGCTTTATTAAAGAATGAATGTTTTAAGATATGAATGGCTTTGTAAACTTTGCATTCATTCATCAGAAATTCACAAGTTTGACAGTTGAACAAAGGTTCAAGGACAGAGGAAACGACAGACGTGGCGGAGGTGTCTTTATCTTGGTTAAGGATGGTTTCTCAGCCATTGAACTTTCTGAAGATGGTTGTGAATTACTCTGGTGCCAACTACCGCTCAAGCTGCAAGGAGAGGACATCTTCATCTCTGCATATTATAGAGCCCCCGACTCCTACAGGCCAGAATCTCTAGAAAACCTAGACAGAAGTCTGAGTAAATTGCAGGCTCAGGTAAACTCCCCATTCATCATTCTTGGAGGAGACTTCAACATCCCGGGCATGCTTTGGAACTCGAGGACTGGTACATGTACGGTATTCAATCCAAAATTATCAACATCGCAGATGACTACAATCTCCAACAAAAGGCAAATTTTACTACAAGGAGAGACCCAGTTACAGGAACAGATAACATCTTAGATTTGCTCTTCACCACATGTCCAACTCTGGTTTGTAATGTTTACAGCAACTCCGGGATTAGCGATCACGCAACAGTGTTAGCTGACATAAACATCACCGCACCTCGCTCTGTCAAGCCCCCTAGGACCATCTTCAAGTGGAATGACGTGGATGAATCCAAGCTGAAAAAATCTGTCCTCGAGCTTAAGACTGAATTCATGCAGTCATCTCCAGAAACCAGAACAGTTGAGGCAAATTGGAGTATTTTTAGGGACAGGCTGAAAACTAACGAATTAGTACCACAAAAACCAGTCCAGGGACATTCTAGACCCTCATGGCTCACTACTGTCCTAATCCGTTGCTGCAGGAAGAAAGAGCGCAGCTATGTGAAGGCAGTAACAAGCGGTCTACATTCAAACTTTTGCAAAAGCAAGTGAACAGCGAAATCCGAAGGGCTAAACGCACACATTTACAAGAAACTACATCTACAGATAACCCCCAGAAATTTTGGCGATACGTAAACAGCACTCGTAAAGACAACACAGGGGTTCAGGTTCTAAAACTCAACGGGAAAAATATCACATCTGACCAAGACAAAGCTGAAACCCTACAAGACCAATTCTGTAGTGTTTTCAGCTGGGATGACACCGATGTGCAGCCAGTTCTACCACCGAGTCCCTACTCAGACTTGACAAACATCACCGTGTCTGTTAGCGGAGTCCTCAAGTTTATACTGACGTCACTCAACTTGAAACTAGCTGCCAATGAAGTTGCCCCAGTACTCGCATTCATATTCCAACAATCACTTGACCTGGGTTCTCTACCATCTGACTGGAAGAAAGCCAACATAACACCCATTTTTAAGAAAGACCCGGCAAACTACAGACCTGTGTCATTGACCTCTGTTTGCTTTAAGTTATTAGAGCACATCATTGATAGCCAATAAATGAAACACCTCCAGGAACACGACATCCTGAACGAAAACCAACATGCTTTTCATAAAGGCCTGTCCTGCAAATCCCAACTCGTAACAACTCTGGATGACATCTCCTACAATTACAATAATCAAATCACCACAGACATGGCAGTACTTGACTTCTCCAAAGCATTCAACATAGTTTCTCATCAAAAACTGGTCCAAACATTAGACTACTACGGGATAAGTACTGACCATCGGTTAGTAATCTGCAACCTGAAGTGGAAATTCCATCGTCATGCTATTGCACGTGGACTACGACCTCAACATCCAAACGTTGAAGCCCTGAAGTCGGAACAATCGTCTGAAGTCTTTCGGCAGCTGGTTCGATCCCGTGTTACTCAAGGTGACTCTCTTGAAGCTGTCGCATGTGTCATACACGAAGCATCTCTTGGGACCTGTGGTACACAAACATCCAAGAAGAAACAGCCGTACCTGTCTGAATTAACTCTTCATCTGATTCAGCGCAAGAGGAAGGCTGTAGGCACTCAAGAATTCACAGCTCTGAGGAATGAGGTCAAACATGCATGCCAGAAAGATCTCAACGAATGGTTGGTAACTAATATTAACACATTGAACCAAGCATACCAGAATCACAATTGCAGAACTATGTTCAAAACTGCTGATGTTCTCCTTCAGAAAACATGTACGCCTGTGGTGAACATCAACGATGCAAACGGTCTGGTATTGGAGACAGCTGAAGAAGAAATACAGCGTTGGCATCAGTATGCTGTAGATCTATTTGAGTCCAATCGGCCACGTCCACCCCATCACACAACTGAGGTTGAACGAAACCCGCCATCACAGGCACTGAAAAACCACAAGGCTCCCGGAGTTGATTGCGTCACATCTGAAGCTCTTAAAGCTGCGACACAGGACCCAGAGATATTCAAAACCCTTCATGGGGCCGTGTGTAACATCTGGAACTCTGGAAAGTGGCCACAGTCGATGACCCAGGCAGTGTACATCCCGTTGCACAAAAAGAGTGACCGAGGCTTGTGCAACAACTACAGAACACTTGCACTAATCAGTCATGCCAGCAAATTGTTCTGAATGTGATACAACGCAGACTGGAAAGAACCGCTAACATCGAAGTGAGTGACACCCAATGTGGTAAAGGCACAACTGATGGAATCTACCTCCTGAAAGGTGTGGCGGAATCGCACTACGCAGGAAAACGCCCTCTCCATCTGGTCTTTGTTGACTATAAGAAGGCATTTGATTCAGTTAATCATGCACTTCTGTTTGCAAAGCTACGATATCTTGGCGTGGAGGAGGATGTGATGCGTCTACTTGAGGATCTTTACATCAACTCAAATGGCAAGCTCCGGTGGAAAGGTCGGATGACAGACGAGTTTGAGACACCAGTTGGAGTACGCCAAGGCTGTCCATTGTCACCAACACTCTTCAGCCTCTACACTGAGTGTCTCATGCGAGAGTGGTACAATCGCACAGCACACCTAACAGCTCCAGATGTCAGTGGTATCCCCCTAAAGGAGATCAGATATGCTGACGACCTGGTACTGATGGCGCTGTGCAGAGCTGATGCTGAAGACATGCTTACTACCCTGGGTGATATATCTGACGGGTATGGGTTAGCCATCCACCCTGGTAAGACTGCATATATGATCATCCAGCCAACAACCGATGACAGCACCATCACATACCGCTCGGCACAAATACCTCGTGTCACATCTTTCAAGTATCTAGGAGTGTTGATCGACCACACACTAGACGACAGCAAGGAGGTTCGGATGCGGTTAGGTATGGGCAGATCCACTCTTCGGCAGTGCAAGTATCTGCGCTCCCCCCGCGTCAGCCTTGAGGTAAAGGTACAGCTTGCTCGGGCCCTAGTCATATCAAGGGTACTGTATGGCGCCACCACCCTGTCGTTGAAGGCAGCTGACATCAAACGCCTAGACAGTTTTGGCCGAACCATTTGGCGTCACCTGCTCAACATCAAGTGGCAAGATCATGTGACAAATGAAAGACTGATGGAGGTGATCGGCGACCGGTGGTGCTTCAGCAGTGATGGAACGAAAGGCAGCATGGTTGGGCCATGTGGTTCGGCATGGCGGCAGCTGTTGTGGATGGGATGCCAGTGGGATGTCGTCGCTCCGTGGGCCGGCCAAAGATGCGCTGGGTGGACAACATCCGTGAATGGTCTGGGTGTGACACCAACGAACTGAAAGCAGCAGCACTGGAAAGACGGGCTGTGGTGGGAGCGGCGCCAGTGATCCCAACTGTGTAAAATTTGAGGAGGAGACCACGGGCAAATGCCTATGTCTAACGAATGAATGAATGGGATAAGGGGAAAAACACAGAGATGGATCAGGGAATTCTTAACCAACAGGTCACAAAGAGTTGTGGTAAATGGACAATCTTTGAAATGGCAAAGTGTCGACAGTGGCATACCACAAGGCACCGTGCTTGGCCCCCATCGGTTTTTACTTTTCATCGATGACATTAGCAAATCAGTGACTGGCACAACTCTCCTTTTCGCTGACGACTGCCTGTTATATCGGACGATCTGCTCATCAACTAATGAACTGATGTTCCAAAAAGACCTGGACAACTTGGCTCACTGGGCGCAAACCTGGGGAATGAAATTTAACTCCAGCAAATGTAACATCATGCGAATGTAACATCAGATTTCGCCTTCAAAACGGCCTCCAAATTACTAGATATGTCACCTGAGGTACAAGTAGACATAGATGATTAAGATGGTTGTACTTAAGTTTACTTACGATCCGTAAAAAAGTGAAATTTTCCGTTCAATTCTGAAGACCCCCTCTGCCTAGGTTGTCGTTGTGCTCACGTTCAAAACTGCATGATAATGGCGTCTGACCTCGACCTCATGCAAATGTCGGGACGGCGCGCTTGCGCATAATGCACTGCATGCACGGCAGATTCCCCTGCGCCGCGCCGACGACTGTTTCCTGATGTAGAGCGCCAGACTCCTAGGCGTACCGCGAACTTACACAGCACTCTACATCAGGAAACAGTCGTCGGCGCGGCGCAGGGGAATCTGCCGTGTCGTCACGACATTTGCATGAGGTCGAGGTCAGACGCCATTATCATGCAGTTTTGAACGTGAGCACAACGACGACAACCTAGGCAGAGGGGGTCTTCAGAATTGAACGGAAAATTTCTGATGTTTTTTGTTGGAAAATGTTGGTTTTTGGGACTGTGTTGTCTAGGTCTCGGTATTAGCTTGGACCTTACTATCGCCAGACCATGTCCAAATGTTAAAAAAGGCGATAAGTAGGGTCCAAGTTACTCGGACTAGGTGCTGGGTAACTCCAGCTAACTCAACTGAGAAAACACTTAAAAATGTTCAGACCAGTCTCAAAGGGTTTGTGCACAGGGTGGCAAGTGATGGCCAGATATGGGAATCTTTCCTTTAATGTTAATTGTTATTGTTAATTAAGCATCTCAAACTTTTCACGAATGAGATACCACGCTATTGAATACAAATAATAAACGCAGTACGTCTATCAAACTCAAAGTATCATGTCCGATATGGCCACTTTTTGCAGTACGTTTCAGTTTCAGTTCACTAAATAAAATAATGCAGATTTCACCAATAGCTAATATAAACAACTAAATTAATGTTATCATTTATTAAATGGTTAGATAAAATTATCTACTGATACTGACCAAGAAAGTGACACAGGCAACAGGTTTCGGCCACTCGGAAGATAGCGCCAGATTTACAGTCGCGTGTTTATGTTGTTGAATGCTGCCCTCATGTGTCGTTCGATTGGCATGCAAGCTCTTTCGAAACATCGGCCTCCATCGCAGGTCCCTACTGCTTCAGCTTCATATATTGAACTGGTATCCTTTTTTTTTTAACGAGACGCATACGTCTTCCATAACGGAAGCTCAACAATATTTATTTGTCTATTATTATTTGACAACTCACGCTTTCTGGGTAGCTGTGTGGAAATTTCATAATCTTCTTAAATTTTTATAATAGACGAAGCCGCAGCTGGGAATGAATCGAATTTTTAAAAACTCTTTAAACCCATGTTTTCTTTTTTTCTGGAGGGCTAGGCCGGCGCTGTTTACGCAACTCAAGTAAGTTTCCACAGGGAGAAATGGCTTTAAGGGAAATAAATAAGCTGTTTACGCTGAACACTAGTTTTTCAGTTTTTCCCCTTGACCAGTTTGAGTGGCTCTTCACCAAGGTAATGAAAGTCGAAGGAGCGTCAATAGAGCTAGAGAGGGGCTATGTGCAAATATTATGTTGGACATTTTACAAATCCCCGGGAGCATCAAACTAGGCCTATATCTATACTAATAAAAAAGTAATAATATAGCAGTGTTGAACCCCACCGTACAGGAGCGACACAAAATATTGAATTCTACTTCGAATGCTGGAGGGAACTATATGCTTAAATGTTTCCAGTGACGGGTGCATATGTATAAGTAAACACTAAATGAAATGTTTTTTGTGGCTATAACTTTGCCAATAGAAATAATTATTAACAGACTTTTGTCTAAAAACTGTTGAGATACTTTGGACAGTATTTTTACCTATGAAATATAAATGAGGTTGATATTTGTTTCACACGAAGTAAAGAATAATAAAAAAAGACTGCCGAAAAATTTAAATTGATTAAACACAGCGTCACTGTAGCTCACCTATTATTACTGCATTTCACTGCCAACCTGGTTCGCTACAGTGGTGAAGCAACAACTCACAAATAATTAAGATACCTAAAGTAGTTAAAACAACACTAGAAAGACACAACATTTTTTAATCATCCTTTTTATACAACTCGGCAGAAAGTCCTTAATGCCTGGTGAACTGGATAAAAATCGCCACTTGAAGGAGTTTAGGCAACACAAAAAGAGAAATTTCCCATTCCGCGATAATAGGGATGCTGCGATAATAGGGAGTCCGACTAAACTTTAAAAATATAGCAACGGCATACTAAAGTTATATTGCAAATGTTTCTATTTTGGGAGAATCTGTATACATTTGTAAAATGTTATGTAATTGGCACACGGATGATTTTCAGCAAAACATTCTCGGAACTCTTTCCATGCATAGGATTTAACTAAGCTTCTTAGACTTTCGACAAAAGTATATTATAATATTTGTGGATTTATTTTATTTACCTCCTATTTTCAATTATGATATGATTTTAAATATTATGCATGCAGTTGTTTTTACCAAAATGGAAAGAAATTCATTTATTTCATATATAAACAAACGCGCATTTAATAACAATGTCGGATGACAAATCCACATTGGTTTAGGAAGTAGGACACAATGGAGACTTTCGTGGCAGCCAATTTGACTCATCTGCAGACGATGACGTTCTTGGTGCTTCCTTGACGTTCGATATTGTTCAAATTATTTTTCTATGTAGTTAATATTAGTCATTCTTTCAATGTTAAAGTCCACAACTGTGTAGGATTTAGTTTATGCAAGAAAAAAATTGGTCCAAGTACTAAGTGCGCAAAAAATGGCCAATGTTTTTCTACATCACTACCTCGTGTTGGTTCAGCATCAGAGGTGACGGAATGTTGCCACCTAACGCTGCTTTTTCCTTCGTATATCATCTCAATGAAGGTCAGTCATTGCAAAAATGATGATATATTGATAAGACATTAATCTTGGACTGAGAAACATTTCCAATTTTGTAAGGAAATACTTAAAAAAATTCTTGACTCTCCATAGACTTTGTACACAACTGCAGAAGTAGCGTCAGGTTGCAACATTCTTTCCGAGGTGACTGTTGGCTCTCCAAGAAAGCCTTCTAAAACCTCTTCCACCGCCTCAAAAGAGATCCCATCTGCGAGTGGTTTCTTTGTTAAATGTTTTATGCCTGGTTTTTATGAACTGCCACTTTGAAAACTGCTGTGAAGATTTGGATTTGAGTAGAAAATGAGATTTTCTACTGATTTCATTGGCGTAGCCATTTTATAACATTTTTTTGACATCATACATGTTAACTTGACAGTTTTTCTCAATTGTTTTTTTCGCAACTGTAGGCGCATCCATCAGTGCAGACGAAAGGCGCTGAGGCAGACTGGACGCCCATACAATGCACAGACAGGGAGTGTAGCCACTCCTTGATGAAGGCTCCGCATCTGCACTGTCCATTCTGCTCCGCATCTGCACTGTCCATTCTGCTCCCAGGACAGTCTCTTCACTGAGGAGATTCTCCTCAAGGCGCACTACGTACAGGGTCAAGTACGTGGATAAAGGCATCAACTTTGGGGGTGAGTTTGGGAACAAGACCAAGTGCACCAGACTTTTCCAACTGATGCGCACTGTGCTGCATGTGGCAGGGTTAGGGTTAATTATAAAGATAAGTTGAAGGTAGTGGACAGCAGGACAAGGTAGTGGCATTTGTGGGAGTTTTATGAAATTGACAGATACCTGGGCTGGTTATTCTTAGCAGATATCAGTGTTCGATAAACTCCCTGTAGAGGGGTGTTTCAAAAAAGCATGAAGTGAACTTGTTGAACAAAATCTGGGGGTTTTTTTACCGAAAAGTTTTGACTCAAGTATCCATTCTTTTGAGAATGATTAGACACACCTTTTTGGTTTAAGTGTTTGAAAGCGCACTTATTTTTAACCTTCACAGTTTCAGTGCTGCTTCAAGACAACTGAGTATGCCGTTGCTGTGATGTAATGGTCCCCTTGTATAATCTGCATGAAAAAAAAACCATGGAATAAATTTAATCAGTTGAAATTTATGTCCCTTGTGAGCAGGTGTGGTAGTTCTACAAGGATTTGGGTGGATTATGTCAAATGCCAACACTTCGTGCCTTTTAAAATAATTAATTGTGAACCTAATTTTATCACTGTATGTTTGTGTCGTAAATTGAATCTTTTGCTACCTTACAGGTTTAAGTCTCATTTTATCAACCTTAACGACTGCACTCCACCATTTTTACCCAGGATGTCAACCAGATCTTCACCACATACACTGACCCAGCACCCAACAGTACCAGCCTGGTAACACACCTCATAGTCCCCCAGTCACAGCAGCCATCGGAGACAGACACATCATCCCCGGGGCTATGAGCAGACTGATGGGCAGCAGCCGCAGATCGAGTACCAGTATGCCTGCATCAATGATCCGAGTCAGAGCACTGCCAATGGGGGAGGTAAGATGGTAAGAATATTAACCCTGACCCTCCAAGAATCTTTCAGCATCTACCCAGAGGTTAAGGTGGATAATGCCACCAGCAGTGAAGGATAATTAGAAGAAGCTGACCAAAAATCCAAGGGGGAGGCATTTGATGCAAGGAAGAACTCTTCCCCCAACCCCCCCCCCCCCCCCCCCCACTTTGTTTTCAATTGATATATCGTGAATCCATATGGAAGAAGGGAATGGGTAGACAACAGCATGTTTAATACAGTTGTCTTCACTCCTGCACTTGTTTGGTCAATAAAATAAATAAAACAACAACCAAAAGTTCAGCATTTTTTTAGGGGGTTGGGGTGGATGAGGGCCAATATTGACAGTGGATTTTACAAATTGAAATTACCAGGTGCAAAGGGTGTGCCATTGGCATTATTTAAGTTGATTGAATTTTGGAGGATTCAGGAAGGTTCTAAGCAACGAAAAAAAATCTAATAAGTCAGGGTGGCAGTACATTTTGAGAGCTGACTTCAACAGTTAAATAAATATTGGCATTTGGCCTTCACCTTGCCCACCTAATGTTAGGAATACAGTTTGAAAAAGTGAGTGATTGCTTGCACCCAGTTACAAGGAATTACATGTTCTTGACACACTGCATCACTGGGGACTTTCTTGCCTGTATCCTGTTTTTACCGCTACATATTATCTGTCCCATTCAAGCGCAACATATATGTCGACCTTTCTACTCCATTAACTCCTCTCATCATTTCCCCTCTTTGTGTAGCCCACACCTGGAGTGACCTTTTGATGACCGACTTTCATTATTACAGGAATTATTATCCAGGATAATTTATCAACTTTTCCCTCTCGTAAACAGTTGTCCTTATTGAAATACCAGACGAAGGAAGCAAAGAGGATTTGGAGGACGAGACTTGCTACACAGAGCACAACTTGTCGCTGCTGCTGCAGGAGAAGGAAAGTCTGGAGAAGACTCTCGAGGAGGAGCGGACCACGTGGGCCCAGACAGAGCACAGGATGAAAGGCACTATAGAAAAGGCTTCGTACAAAGGTGAGTGGGCATTCCATCTGGTCTTGGTCTAAGAATGAGTTTGGATCTTGTTCCCTGCATGCAACAGGTACCAAGGGCGTCAATCGCTTCTTAAAAGTGGGAGGGGGGACATACCTTGATCAGAACTCATGCAGGCACACTAATGCGACTGCGTTCTTTCAGTGGTCAGATTTCTGTCAGGATGCCAGCTGTCATGGCTGTGGGCGATCATGGTGTGCACTGTTGTTGTCATTGCTCTACATTTTCTACACGTTCTACGTTATTTTATGCGCTGACGCTGCTTATGATAAATGCAGACAAATTGTTGCACACATTTTGTACACAAGCTCAGATGTGTCGTTTATCCTTGTGTAGAGGATTCGTGGTTTCACTCAAACTCTAGTTGCACTAAATAACTGGGTAACAACACATGTGCCTTCTTAAGCATTCATGCTCCAACTGCACACATCATGAAGTGCATAAATGTCAGACTTTGGTGTGCGCTGTCATGGTTGTGATTGGTTACACATCATGGGGCAGAGCCTAATGGATTGGTCTATTAAAATTCCATCTGTAAACAAATAATTTCTCTGCCCATCCGTCTTGCCCTCCAGGTTGAGTATTTGTCCAACACAAACATGTCACTCAAGCAGCAGCTGTCCATGATTCACACGTCCAGTTTGAAACATCTAACCAACGACAGCGAGAACCAGTCCATTTTGCAAGAGTTACTGCAACACATGTCTGAGGAGCACACTCAGCTGCTGCACCACCATCTAGCACAGCTACGGCTGTACGCTCAGGCCTGCGCATTATCCAAATCAGCCCCCGAGGAATCTGCAGCTGAATCTACAGTCTTGGTACCAGACCTGGCTGACCAATCACAGGACATCTCACACATGGCCATGATGTCGTCCTCGGAGGGCACCCTTGGGAACATGGAGCAGACAGTCGTCATGACGATAACGTCTGAGGAGGATTCGGAGCCGTCGGCAACATCGTGGATAACCCCGGAGATACTGTGGGACATGACTCCTTGACTTTGGATAAGGACGTTCACTTGTCACCAAATGACATTCTGTACCGACTGACAAGCGAGGGACTGTCATCAAGACATGCCACCTCTGAGTCGGGTCACGTTTATCAATCAGGTAGAACTCATTCACATCACAACACAGGCTGTGATGTCACGCAACAGGATTTTCACAAGAACAAAAGTTGAAAATTGGTTCTTTCCAACAGCATGCCAAAAATATTCTGCCCCGATGGCTTTGACAAAAGAACGTTTGATGACAACATGTCAAATGAGGGACCACCATTAAAATGTGGGAGAACTAACAGCCTGAAAGCCACTTAACTAAATAAAACCGGACATATTTTGTAAACAGTGTACACTCAGTGTTGTCCGAGGGCTTAGTTGGGGGGGGGGGGGGGACTTGAACTAATGAGTTGAGTCTTCATGGAAGTTTGTCTTACCTGAATGAAAAATTTTACCAAAGCAACTGGCCTTGGTCTCTCCTATCTTTTCGAGTTCTCGATGGGCAATCCCGAATCCGCTCAGTGAATGGGCGTCGTTGTAGGCCCAAAAAGATCCATGTAGGTCCTCAAATCTATTACTGAAACATAAACGATGCAATTATGATTAACATTGAAACATTTGGTCGTATGTATAAAAACTAGCATTTGCTTTTTTTTTTACTACATATTTTTAAGCATAACTTTTATTTGCATGAATAAAAATGAGAGCAAATGCTTTCACTATTTGCTTCAAGCTAAAAGTATTTGCTTTTTTACTTTTTGGCTTTTGCTAGACTAGAAGTGTGGACTGGTTTCAAACTTGAAAAAAATATAAATTTCAATTGACCTCAAAATTAATAAAATTTTAAAATCTAAAACTCCAACTGTTGGACTTGAACCAGCAACCTTCAGAAGTTCAGATTTAGGGTCATCAGTCCGTATTACTTGATTAAGCACAACTTCACACTATTTTGTGGTTACAAAATTAACTGTAAAGTTTCAATTGACCTAAAAAGTAGTAAAATTTTGAAATCTAAAATTCCCAGCGTGGGAATGAACCTGCAACCTTTAGATTTAGAGTCAGCAGTCTGAACCACTGCACTAAGCATAATTTCATGCTTTTTAGTGGTTACGGAATTAACTATCAAGTTTCAATTTACCCAAAAGAAATAAAACTTTAAAATCTAAAATTCCCACCCTGGATTTGAACCCACAACCTTCAGATTTCAAGTCAGCAGTCCATACCATTGGACTAAGCATAATTTCACACTTTTTAGTGGTTACGAAATTAACTATGAAGTTAAATTTACCCCAAAAGACATAAAATTTCAAAAACCAAAACTCCCACCCTGGATTTGAACCCACAACCTTCAGATTTCAAGTCAGGCGTCCGTACCATTGGACTTAGCATAATTTCACACTTTTGAGTGGTTACAAAATTAACTATCAAGTTTAAATTTACCCAAAAAGAACTAAATTTTAAAATCTAAAATTCCCCCACTGGAATTGAACCCGCAACCTTCAGATTTCGAGTCGGTAGTCCATACCATTGGACTAAGCCTAATTTCACACTTTTTAAAGGTTACGAAATTAACTATAATGTTTTAATTTACCCAAAAAAGTAATAAAATTTTAAAATCTAAAATTCCCACCCTGGAATTGAACCCACAACCTTCAGATTTCGAGTCAGTAATCAATACCATTGGACTAAGTGTAATTTCACGATTTTTAAATGTTACGATATTAACTATGAAGTTTCAATTTACCCAAAAAGAAATACAATTTTAAAATCTAAAATTCCCCCCCTGGAATTGAACCCGCAACCTTCAGATTTGGAGTCAGTAGTCCATACCATTGGACTAAGCCTAACTTCACAATTTTTAGTGGTGACGAAATTAACTATTAAATTTAAATTTACCCAAAAAGACATAAAATTTTAAAATCTAAAATTTCCACCCTGGATTTGAACCGACAACCTTCAGATTTCGAGTCAGTAGTCCATACAATTGGACTAAGTGTAATTTCACAATTTTTAAAGGTTAGGAAATAAACTATAATGTTTTAATTTACCCCAAGAAGTAATACAATTTTAAAATCTAAAATTCCCACCCTGGAATTGAACCCACAACCTTCAGATTTCGAGTCAGTAATCAATACCATTGGACTAAGTGTAATTTCACGATTTTTAAATGTTACGATATTAACTATGAAGTTTCAATTTACCCAAAAATAAATAAAATCTAAAATCTAAAATTTCCACCCTGGATTTGAACCCACAACCTTCAGATTTAGAGTCAGTAGTCCATACCATTGGACTAAGTGTAATTTCACAATTTTTAAAGGTTACGATATTAACTATACCGACAACCTTCAGATTTCGAGTCAGTAGTCCATACAATTGGACTAAGTGTAATTTCACAATTTTTAAAGGTTAGGAAATAAACTATAATGTTTTAATTTACCCCAAGAAGTAATACAATTTTAAAATCTAAAATTCCCACCCTGGAATTGAACCCACAACCTTCAGATTTCGAGTCAGTAATCAATACCATTGGACTAAGTGTAATTTCACGATTTTTAAATGTTACGATATTAACTATGAAGTTTCAATTTACCCAAAAATAAATAAAATCTAAAATCTAAAATTTCCACCCTGGATTTGAACCCACAACCTTCAGATTTAGAGTCAGTAGTCCATACCATTGGACTAAGTGTAATTTCACAATTTTTAAAGGTTACGATATTAACTATAATGATTTAAATTACCCAAAAAAGTAATACAATTTTAAAATCTAAAATTCCCACCCTGGAATTGAACCCACAACCTTCAGATTTCGAGTCAGCAGTCCATACCATTGGACTAAGCATAATTTCACACTTTTTAGTGGTTACGAAATTAACTATGAAGTTAAATTTACCCCAAAAGACATAAAATTTCAAAAACCAAAACTCCACCCCTGGATTTGAACCCACAACCTTCAGATTTCAAGTCAGCCGTCCGTACCATTGGACTAAGCATAATTTCACACTTTTTAGTGGTTACAAAATTAACTATCAAGTTTAAATTTACCCAAAAAGAACTAAATTTTAAAATCTAAAATTCCCCCCCTGGAATTGAACCCGCAACCTTCAGATTTCGAGTCGGTGTCCATACCATTGGACTAAGCCTAATTTCACACTTGTTAAAGGTTACAAAATTAACTATAATGTTTTAATTTACCCCAAAAAGACATAAAGTTTTAAAATCTAAAATTTCCACCCTGGATTTGAACCAACAACCTTCAGATTTCGAGTCAGTAGTCCATACCATTGGACTAAGTGTAATTTCACAATTTTTAAATGTTACGATATTAACTATGAAGTTTCAATTTACCCAAAAATAAATAAAATCTAAAATCTAAAATGTCCAACCTGGATTTGAACCCACAACCTTCAGATTTAGAGTCAGCAGTCCATACCATTGGACTAAGCCTAACTTCACAATTTTTAGTGGTGACGAAATTAACTATTAAATTTAAATTTACCCAAAAAGACATAAAATTTTAAAATCTAAAATTTCCACCCTGGATTTGAACCGACAACCTTCAGATTTCGAGTCAGTAGTCCATACCATTGGACTAAGCATAATTTCACACTTTTTAGTGGTTACGAAATTAACTATGAAGTTAAATTTACCCCAAAAGACATAAAATTTCAAAAACCAAAACTCCCACCCTGGATTTGAACCCACAACCTTCAGATTTCAAGTCAGGCGTCCGTACCATTGGACTTAGCATAATTTCACACTTTTGAGTGGTTACAAAATTAACTATCAAGTTTAAATTTACCCAAAAAGAACTAAATTTTAAAATCTAAAATTCCCCCACTGGAATTGAACCCGCAACCTTCAGATTTCGAGTCGGTAGTCCATACCATTGGACTAAGAATAATTTCACACTTTTTAAAGGTTACGAAATTAACTATAATGTTTTAATTTACCCAAAAAAGTAATAAAATTTTAAAATCTAAAATTCCCACCCTGGAATTGAACCCACAACCTTCAGATTTCGAGTCAGTAATCAATACCATTGGACTAAGTGTAATTTCACGATTTTTAAATGTTACGATATTAACTATGAAGTTTCAATTTACCCAAAAAGAAATACAATTTTAAAATCTAAAATTCCCCCCCTGGAATTGAACCCGCAACCTTCAGATTTCGAGTCAGTAGTCCATACCATTGGACTAAGCCTAACTTCACAATTTTTAGTGGTGACGAAATTAACTATTAAATTTAAATTTACCCAAAAAGACATAAAATTTTAAAATCTAAAATTTCCACCCTGGATTTGAACCGACAACCTTCAGATTTCGAGTCAGTAGTCCATACAATTGGACTAAGTGTAATTTCACAATTTTTAAAGGTTAGGAAATAAACTATAATGTTTTAATTTACCCCAAGAAGTAATACAATTTTAAAATCTAAAATTCCCACCCTGGAATTGAACCCACAACCTTCAGATTTCGAGTCAGTAATCAATACCATTGGACTAAGTGTAATTTCACGATTTTTAAATGTTACGATATTAACTATGAAGTTTCAATTTACCCAAAAATAAATAAAATCTAAAATCTAAAATTTCCACCCTGGATTTGAACCCACAACCTTCAGATTTAGAGTCAGTAGTCCATACCATTGGACTAAGTGTAATTTCACAATTTTTAAAGGTTACGATATTAACTATACCGACAACCTTCAGATTTCGAGTCAGTAGTCCATACAATTGGACTAAGTGTAATTTCACAATTTTTAAAGGTTAGGAAATAAACTATAATGTTTTAATTTACCCCAAGAAGTAAAACAATTTTAAAATCTAAAATTCCCACCCTGGAATTGAACCCACAACCTTCAGATTTCGAGTCAGTAATCAATACCATTGGACTAAGTGTAATTTCACGATTTTTAAATGTTACGATATTAATTATGAAGTTTCAATTTACCCAAAAATAAATAAAATCTAAAATCTAAAATTTCCACCCTGGATTTGAACCCACAACCTTCAGATTTAGAGTCAGTAGTCCATACCATTGGACTAAGTGTAATTTCACAATTTTTAAAGGTTACGATATTAACTATAATGATTTAAATTACCCAAAAAAGTAATACAATTTTAAAATCTAAAATTCCCACCCTGGAATTGAACCCACAACCTTCAGATTTCGAGTCAGCAGTCCATACCATTGGACTAAGCATAATTTCACACTTTTTAGTGGTTACGAAATTAACTATGAAGTTAAATTTACCCCAAAAGACATAAAATTTCAAAAACCAAAACTCCACCCCTGGATTTGAACCCACAACCTTCAGATTTCAAGTCAGCCGTCCGTACCATTGGACTAAGCATAATTTCACACTTTTTAGTGGTTACAAAATTAACTATCAAGTTTAAATTTACCCAAAAAGAACTAAATTTTAAAATCTAAAATTCCCCCCCTGGAATTGAACCCGCAACCTTCAGATTTCGAGTCGGTGTCCATACCATTGGACTAAGCCTAATTTCACACTTGTTAAAGGTTACAAAATTAACTATAATGTTTTAATTTACCCCAAAAAGACATAAAGTTTTAAAATCTAAAATTTCCACCCTGGATTTGAACCAACAACCTTCAGATTTCGAGTCAGTAGTCCATACCATTGGACTAAGTGTAATTTCACAATTTTTAAATGTTACGATATTAACTATGAAGTTTCAATTTACCCAAAAATAAATAAAATCTAAAATCTAAAATGTCCAACCTGGATTTGAACCCACAACCTTCAGATTTAGAGTCAGCAGTCCATACCATTGGACTAAGCCTAACTTCACAATTTTTAGTGGTGACGAAATTAACTATTAAATTTAAATTTACCCAAAAAGACATAAAATTTTAAAATCTAAAATTTCCACCCTGGATTTGAACCGACAACCTTCAGATTTCGAGTCAGTAGTCCATACAATTGGACTAAGTGTAATTTCACAATTTTTAAAGGTTAGGAAATAAACTATAATGTTTTAATTTACCCCAAGAAGTAATACAATTTTAAAATCTAAAATTCCCACCCTGGAATTGAACCCACAACCTTCAGATTTCGAGTCAGTAATCAATACCATTGGACTAAGTGTAATTTCACGATTTTTAAATGTTACGATATTAACTATGAAGTTTCAATTTACCCAAAAATAAATAAAATCTAAAATCTAAAATTTCCACCCTGGATTTGAACCCACAACCTTCAGATTTAGAGTCAGTAGTCCATACCATTGGACTAAGTGTAATTTCACAATGTTTAAAGGTTACGATATTAACTATAATGATTTAATTTACCCAAAAAAGTAATACAATTTTAAAATCTAAAATTCCCACCCTGGAATTGAACCCACAACCTTCAGATTTCGAGTCAGCAGTCCATACCATTGGACTAAGCATAATTTCACACTTTTTAGTGGTTACGAAATTAACTATGAAGTTAAATTTACCCCAAAAGACATAAAATTTCAAAAACCAAAACTCCACCCCTGGATTTGAACCCACAACCTTCAGATTTCAAGTCAGCCGTCCGTACCATTGGACTAAGCATAATTTCACACTTTTTAGTGGTTACAAAATTAACTATCAAGTTTAAATTTACCCAAAAAGAACTAAATTTTAAAATCTAAAATTCCCCCCCTGGAATTGAACCCGCAACCTTCAGATTTCGAGTCGGTGTCCATACCATTGGACTAAGCCTAATTTCACACTTGTTAAAGGTTACAAAATTAACTATAATGTTTTAATTTACCCCAAAAAGACATAAAGTTTAAAATCTAAAATTTCCACCCTGGATTTGAACCAACAACCTTCAGATTTCGAGTCAGTAGTCCATACCATTGGACTAAGTGTAATTTCACAATTTTTAAATGTTACGATATTGTAGCGTTCACTTTAAGTTACGCTGCACTGCGCCTTTAACGCATCTTGTATATATGTTTAGTTCAGAGGTCAACCTTCACGCATTCAGTTTCGTTTCGTTTCGTTATCGTTCGTCTATGCTATTTTCTGTCACACACGCAATATTTACAGTGCTTTTCCTATAATTTCGCTTGGAAGTTACAAGCTAGAATCAACGCTATTCTTTACATGATTTATTAAACATCGGCAGAGCTATTCCAGTGAGCAATCCAAGTTTCTCTCGTGGATTTTTGTGAGTGTTTATTGACCGAACTTGGTGAGCGTTTTCACCACGTGAGTTGAAACCAACTCGCCCCGCATTCACGGCGCGGGCAGTCGCCCCGTTCGCGTTGCGTTGTGCATGGACTCGGCCCAGTTTTGGCTGTTTACATACTGCAACTTGGTGAGTCACTTAACTTGCAATAAACTCGGGAGTTAAAGTAGGACAGTACAACTAATTCCTACATTGGTGACCCAGACCTGAGCCGAACAACATGGAAACCAAATCTGACTCTGATCATGCTGATTCCAAACCGGGCACATCCAAAGGTGCTACTGCTAGTTCATCTCCATCTGCACCCACAACATCAGCTGCAGTGACTTTGAAGTTGCCTCCATTTTGGCCCAGTGACCCTGCCCTTTGGTTTGCGCAAGTGGAAGCGCAATTTCTAACCCGTAACATCACTCAGCAACACACCAAGTTCGCATACGTGGTTGGATCCTTGCAGCCAGAGTTTGCAACTGAAGTGAGGGACATCCTCATTTCACCCCCTGAGCATAATGCCTACGACAGCCTGAAGACCGCCCTCATCCGTCGAACCTCCGTATCAGAGCAGAAAAGACTGCACCAGTTGCTAATATCGGAGGAGCTGGGGGACCGCAAGCCTTCACAATTACTACGTCGTATGCGGCAGTTGTTAGGAGACAACACGCTCGAAGAAAACATCCTGAAACAACTGTTTCTTCAGAGATTATCGACCAACGCCCAACTAATCCTGGCATCAACATCTCAAACGACACCCATTGAGCAACTCGCAGAACTTGCAGACAAGATTGTTGAAGTTTCTGTCTCGCCTACTGTACATGTCGGGGCAGTTTCATCCAGCCAGCCTGGCAGTTCGTCGCCTCCAACACCCATGCCAAGTTCAGATATGCTCACACTACAAGCCAAAGTTGACCAGCTAACCCAACAAGTCAGCGCTCTCACATGCCAACTCTCCGGTCAGCCCCGTGGGAGATCGAGGAAGCGTGACACAACCCCACCCAATCGACGCCCATCTCGCAGTCGCAGCCCATCACACTCTGGCACTGACTGCTGGTATCACTGGCGATTCGGCGCTGATGCCAGAAGGTGTGTGTCCCCATGCAGCTTCAAACCCCGACAACAACAGGGAAACTCCGATGCCAGCGACTAAAGGCGACGAGTCTCCCTGGCACCGACACCAATAGTCGCCTATTCTTCATCACTGAACGCAAGACAGGGGCCCGGTTCCTGGTAGATACGGGAGCGGAAGTGAGCGTTTGGCCTCCATCGGCTGCGGATAAACGTCATGCCCAGTCTTCATCTATCAATCTTCAGGCGGTGAACAAATCTCCCATCAACACATATGGTGAGAAGTCACTCACTTTGGATGTCGGGTTGCGTCGAGTCTTCCGTTGGGTGTTCATTATCGCGGACCTGCCGAACCCAATAATTGGAGCAGATTTTCTCCAACACTTCGGACTGCTAGTCGACGTTCAGTGTCGCAAACTCATCGACTCCACTACAAGCCTCACCGTAGGTGGAATCGGTTCAGATGCCATTCCCATCAGTCCAACCGTTGCCAAGCTGAGTGAGTCGCCCTATGAAGTGATCCTTGAACAATTTCCAGAACTGACACGTCCGACTTACACTGCCAAGGACGTTAAGCACTCTATAACGCATCACATTGTGACTAAGGGTCCCCCAGTGTCAGCTCGCCCAAGACGCCTGGCTCCCGACAAGTTCATCACGGCGAAAGACGAGTTCAATCATATGCTTGATCTCGGCATCATTGAAGCTTCGGACGGTGCATGGTCGTCGCCTTTACATATGGTGGCCAAGAAGTCAGGTGACTGGAGGCCGTGCGGAGACTACCGTGCCCTCAACCGTGTTACAGTACCCGACCGCTATCCGATTCCCCATCTGCATGACTTTACAGCCAATCTGGAGGGTAAACGCGTGTTCTCAAAGATCGACTTAGTACGCGCTTACCACCAAATTCCGGTCCATACTGACGACATCCACAAGACCGCCATCACAACACCTTTCGGTCTGTTCCACTTCCTTCGCATGCCTTTCGGCCTGCGGAATGCCGCTCAGACTTTCCAACGATTCATCGACATGGTTACGCGAGACTTACCTTTCGTGTACGCCTACATCGATGACATCCTGGTCGCGAGTGAGACAGAGGAGGACCATGTTGAGTACTTGCGTCTTCTCTTCAGCAGACTTTCCGAATATGGCATTATCATCAACCCATCCAAATGCCAGTTCGGGGTTCCCACCCTCGATTTCCTGGGACACAGAATCGACGCTGATGGTATCCGTCCCATGAGAGACAGAGTCAACGCGATTGCAGAGTTCCCTCAGCCTACCTCCACCCGTCAACTGCGCAGATTTTTGGGACTGGTAAACTTTTACCGTCGTTTCGTGCCAAACTGCGCAAGCGTGATCGCCTCACTGACAGACCAGCTGCGAAAAGACCCAACCAGTCACGCAAATCAACCAAACTGAATTGGACACCTGAATGCCAGACAGCATTCCTGCAGATCAAGCAATCACTCGCTGACACCACACTTCTCGCTCACCCTTCTTCGGTACTACCAACTGCCATGATGGTGGACGCCTCGGACACGGCAGTTGGCGGTGTGCTGCAGCAACTTTCCGAAGGAGTATGGCACCCCCTGGCCTTCTTCTCTCAGCGTCTTAAACCTGCAGAGAGTCGCTATAGCACCTTCGGGCGCGAACTACTGGCCATGTACTTGTCAGTCAGACACTTTCGACACTTCATCGAAGGACGAGAATTCTGCATTTACACTGACCACAAACCGTTGGTGTATGCTCTCAACTCCAACCTGACCGGCATTCACCTAGAGAAGTTCGTCACCTGGACTATGTATCTCAGTTTACATCCGACATTCGTCACATCAAGGGCACAGAGAATGTTGTAGCGGATGCGCTCTCCCGATCTCACATCAGTGCCTTGACAACATCGACCCAGATTGACTTCGAGCAGATGGCCATGGATCAGACACAAGACCAGGAACTACACAGAATCCTGGAATCACCCACATCCCTGGACCTCAAGCAAGTTCCGATACCGAACTCAAATACATCCATCTGGTGCGATGTGTCGACAGGTCATGAACGCCCTTTCGTACCCCAAAACCACAGACGGAGTGTGTTCGATTCCTTGCACAATCTGTCTCACCCTGGCATTCGAGCAACACTGAAACTGGTTGGTTCACGCTTCGTCTGGCCACGCATGAACTCAGACATCAGAGCATGGGCCAAGGCCTGCGTCAAGTGCCAGAAGTCCAAGGTCCACAGCCACACCAAGACTCCGTTTGGAACCTTCGCATCTCCAGATGCACGTTTCGATCATGTGCACATAGACATCGTGGGACCACTCCCCCCTTCCCAGGGATATTGCTATCTACTCACATGCGTTGACAGGTTTACACGCTGGCCAGAAGCAATACCTATACCCGACTGCACCGCTGAAACAGTCGCCAAGGCCTTTGTGAACAGATGGGTCTCCACCTTTGGTGCTCCGTCTACGATAACTACAGACCGCGGACGACAGTTTGAGTCGGCCCTGTTCCAAGCTTTGATGGTTCTCCTAGGTACCAGACGCACGCGAACAACATCGTACCACCCCATAGCAAACGGTATGGTTGAACGCCTGCATAGACAGCTCAAAGCCTCTCTCAAATCGAGTACTAACCCTCAACGTTGGACCGAAGCATTACCACTCATCCTCCTCGGGATCCGCACGGTGGTAAAGCAGGATCTTGGTTGCTCCACCGCCGAATTGGTGTTTGGCACCACCCTGAGACTTCCAGGACAGTTTGTTGCACCCCCCAACGATACTGGTAATCTCGCCGACCCTGCAGACTATGTTCACAGACTGCGACACACGATGCAGCACATCAGACCCACACCGCCTCGGTCGCGAGACAGAACTGCACAAATTCACAAGGATTTGATGTTGTGCAAGCATGTATTTGTCCGTTGCGATCATGTGCAGAAACCCCTCCAAACACCCTACAAAGGTCCATACCGAGTACTCAGCCGGACAGACAAGTACTTCACACTCGACCTGGATGGAAGGCAGGACACAGTCAGCTTAGATCGGTTGAAAGTTGCTTACCTCGATACAGATACCACCCCTTCCCAGCCATCTACCCTAGAGCTTAAGCGTGTACAGCCATCTCCTGCCATCCCTACGCACTTGGTTGATGACCAACACACAGCAACACCAGCAGCTCAACGGCACTCGCGTTCTGGCCGGCATGTTCATTGGCCATCCAAGTACACAGACTTTGACTGTGGTTGATTTAACCTGAACACTTATCGCTCGCTTCAATACCATTTTGCGATCTAGAGGGGGGCTACTGTAGCGTTCACTTTAAGTTACGCTGCACTGCGCCTTTAACGCATCTTGTATATATGTTTAGTTCAGAGGTCAACCTTCACGCATTCAGTTTCGTTTCGTTTCGTTATCGTTCGTCTATGCTATTTTCTGTCACACACGCAATATTTACAGTGCTTTTCCTATAATTTCGCTTGGAAGTTACAAGCTAGAATCAACGCTATTCTTTACATGATTTATTAAACATCGGCAGAGCTATTCCAGTGAGCAATCCAAGTTTCTCTCGTGGATTTTTGTGAGTGTTTATTGACCGAACTTGGTGAGCGTTTTCACCACGTGAGTTGAAACCAACTCGCCCCGCATTCACGGCGCGGGCAGTCGCCCCGTTCGCGTTGCGTTGTGCATGGACTCGGCCCAGTTTTGGCTGTTTACATACTGCAACTTGGTGAGTCACTTAACTTGCAATAAACTCGGGAGTTAAAGTAGGACAGTACAACTAATTCCTACAATATTAACTATGAAGTTTCAATTTACCCCAAAATAACTAAAATCTAAAATTTCCAATCTGGATTTGAACCCGCAACCTTCAGATTTAGAGTCGGCAGTCCATACCATTGGACTAAGCATAATTTCACACTTTTTAGTGGTTACGAAATTAACTATGAAGTTTCAATTGACCTTAAAAGTAATAAAATCTTGAAATCTAAAATGTCCAACCTGGATTTGAACCCACAACCTTCAGATTTAGAGTCAGTAGTCCATACCATTGGAATAAGTGTAATTTCACAATTTTTAAAGGTTACGCAATTAACTATGAAGTTTAAATTTGCCCAAAAAGACATAAAATTTTAAATCTAAAATTTCCACCCTGGATTTGAACCCACAACCTTCAGATTTCGAGTCAGTAGTCCATACCATTGGACTAAGTGTAATTTCACAATTTTTAAAGGTTACGAAATTAACTATTATGTTTTAATTTACCAAAAAAGTAATAAAATTTTAAAATCTAAAATTCCCACCCTGGAATTGAACCCACAACCTTCAGATTTCGAGTCAGTAGTCCATACCATTGGACTAAGTGTAATTTCACAATTTTTAAATGTTACGAAATTAACTATGAAGTTTCAATTTACCCAAAAATAAATAAAATCTCAAATTTCCAACCTGGATTTGAACCCGCAACCTTCAGATTTAGAGTCAGCAGTCCATACCATTGGACTAAGCATAATTTCACACTTTTTTGTGGGTACGAAATTAACTATTAAATTTAAATTTACCCAAAAAGACATAACATTTTAAAATCTAAAATTTCCACCCTGGATTTTAACCGACAACCTTCAGATTTAGAGTCAGTAGTCCATACAATTGGACTAAGTGTAATTTCACATTTTTTAAAGGTTACGAAATTAACTATAATGTTTTAATTTATCCAAAAAAGTAATAAATTTTTAAAATCTAGAATTCCCACCCTGGAATTGAACCCACAACCTTCAGATTTCGAGTCAGTAGTCCATACCATTGGACTAAGTGTAATTTCACAATTTTTAAATGTTACAAAATTAACTATGAAGTTTTAATTTACCCAAAAATAAATAAAATCTAAAATCTAAAATTCCCACGCTGGAATTGAACCCACAACCTTCAGATTTCGAGTCAGTAGTCCATACCATTGGACTAAGTGTAATTTCACGATTTTTAAAGGTTACGAAATTAACAATAATGTTTTAATTTACCCAAAAAAGTAATTGATTTTTAAAATCTAAAATTCCCACCATGGAATTGAACCCACAACCTTCAGATTTCAAGTCAGTAGTCCATACCATTGGACTAAGTGTAATTTCACAATTTTTAAATGTTACGAAATTAACTATGAAGTTTCAATTTACCCAAAAATAAATAAAATCTAAAATCTAAAATTTCCAACCTGGATTTGAACCCACAACCTTCAGATTTAGAGTCAGCAGTCCATACCATTGGACTAAGCATAATTTCACACTTTTTAGTGGTTACGAAATTAACTATGAAGTTTAAATTTACCCAAAAAGACAAAAAGTTTTAAAATCTAAAATTTCCACCCTGGAATTGAACCCACAACCTTCAGATTTCGAGTCAGTAGTCCATACCATTGGACTAAGTGTAATTTCACAATTTTTAAGTGTTACGATATTAACTATGAAGTTTCAATTTACCCAAAAATAAATAAAATCTAAAATCTAAAATTCCCACCCTGGAATTGAACCCACAACCTTCAGATTTCAAGTCAGCAGTCCATACCATTGGACTAAGCATAATTTCACACTTTTTAGTGGTTACGAAATTAACTATAAAGTTAAATTTACCCCAAAAGACATAAAATTTCAAAAACCAAAACTCCAATCCTGGATTTGAACCCACAACCTTGAGATTTCAAGTCAGCCGTCCGTACCATTGGACTAAGCATAATTTCACATTTTTTGAGTGGTTACAAAATTAACTATCAAGTTTAAATTTACCCAAAAAGAACTAAATTTTAAAATCTAAAATTCCCCCCCTGGAATTGAACCTGCAACCTTCAGATTTTGAGTCAGTAGTCCATACCATTGGACTAAGCATAATTTCACACTTTTTAAAGGTTACGAAATTAACTATAATGTTTTAATTTACCCAAAAAAGTAATAAAATTTTAAAATCTAAAATTCCCACCCTGGAATTGAACCCACAACCTTCAGATTTCAAGTCTGTAGTCCATACCATTGGACTAAGTGTAATTTCACAATTTTTAAATGTTACGATATTAACTATGAAGATTCAATTCACCCAAAAATAAATAAAATATAAAATATAAAATTTCCAACCTGGAGTTGAACCCACAACCTTCAGATTTAGAGTCAGCAGTCCATACCATTGGACTAAGCATAATTTCACTCTTTTTAGTGGTTACGAAATTAACTATAAAATTTAAATTTACCCTAAAAGACATAATATTTTAAAATCTAAAATTTTCAACCTGGATTTGAACCCACAACCTTCAGATTTCGAGTCAGTAGTCCATACCATTGGACTAAGTATAATTTCACAATTTTTAAAGGTTACGAAATTAACTATAATGATTTAATTTACCCAAAAAAGTAATAAAATTTTAAAATCTAAAATTCCCACC